CAGACTACAAACCAACCTTTGTTACTACACAAAGACCCAGTGGTAAAACATGCATCATTCACCACAATGTACATTTCCAGATATACAGCGTTCTTAAAGTGGGTACACACACAAACTGGATGCTTATGTACAATGACATAATTGTTAGATGAGCATACATTCATACCCAAACACACATGCAAACATGCAAATACATAGCGTTCATCCCAAACACACAGTGAACAAACATTGTTTAATATAATCACACAACTGGGACAAATACGCTCATCGCCATATCACAAGTAACTGCCAGCCTGTCTACACATGAAAGAAAAACAGGTGCAGAGGATCCTTGTGTCTGTTTAACAACAATGCCATTTGTCTTATGTCCAAAATAAAGCTTTCAAACTGTTTTCTTGTCAGATTACAGTGCTCTTAAAGGAACAGTTCACCGAAAATAAAAATTTGCTAAAACGTTATACTTAGATGTAGATTGTTTCTTCAATAGAACCGATTTGGAGAAATTTAGCATTCCATCACTTGTTGACCAATGGATCCTCTGCAGTGAATGGGTGCCGTCAGAATGAACGTCCATACAGCTGATTAAAATATCACAATAATCCACAAGTAATCCATGTGACTTCTGTCCATCAATTAATGTCATGTGAAGTGAAAAGCTGCAACAAATTCATCAATACGATATTTTCAGCTAAAATAAACATCCTCTATCCATAATATTGCTTTCTCCAGGGAAAAATCAATTTAATCTGAATCAGGAAAGAAATATGCACAGATCAAGCACCGTTTATAAGCACAAACCCTATCCAATGCAGTTCTAAATATGTTGGTGGATTTTGATATGAGAGGACAACAAGGGATGAACTGCTTTTATTTATTTAAAAAAAATTTTTTGCAGAGGAAGCATTATTGTAGGTTATGGTATTTTGGTATTTTGACCCGAAGGTTTAAAGTTAAAACGCCTCAAATTATGAATTTCTTTATTACATGCACATAGTTTTTCGCTTCAAAATATGTTAATTGATGGACTGGAGTTGAGTTGTGGAATATTGTGATGTTTGTATCAGCTGTTCGATCAGACGCTTGTTCTGACGGCACCCATTCACTCACTGGTGAGTAAGAAATGTAACTGTTTTATAAACCTGTTCCGATAAAGAAACAAACTCTTCTACATCTGGGATGACCAGATTTTCAGCAAAATTTCCCTATTTTATTTTAGCTCCAGAAGCGATACATGCATCATAAAAGGGAATAAATTATTGTCAACTTCTGTTTCATGATAAATTTAAAGGTAAAGTATGTAATCATACTCAATTAATGGATGCTGTCTGTTTGTACAACCAATGGCAGATGAGAGTGAAACCCTGTTTGAAAAAAAGTAATTTTTTGCACTTCTGTTTAGTGATGAAATTGCACATTTCAGTTATATTTAGTGATTGCGGCCATCAGTAAATAATTTCTTAGAAGAAAACAGGCCCTCTGTTCTAAAAGGATATGGGCTAAAAGAAAGCATGTGTGATGTGCACATCAGAATAATACATCTGTCTTGTTTTTTCAACTTTCCACAAAGAAAATGAAATACTTATTCTTTGTTTTGCTCAAAGCCTATAATAATCCATCTTAATGAGGTGTCAATCAAATGACTATTGTGTGTTTTTCCTCTGAGATTTTCACATATTCTTTTGTCAATACATCTCACTGGCTTTGTCTAGTGAACTGTTTTCTCTCTCGCTATCAGAAGGTGCAGTAATGAAATGGTCTGTTCTCTCACTAGTCTGTTAATTACTTCTCTATTTATTTAGCGGTTGTGCTGTGGTGATGGGAGGCCCAGGGGATTGTCTGACTCCCATGCTAAATAGCCTGCATTCCAATCCCTTGATGTCCAGACTAATACCATCCTCACTTTCATCTCCATGGCCTGACAAATTAGCACCCATCTGATTCCCTATAGTGAAAAATAAGGGGAGAAAGGGCCGCACAGCATCCTGGATGAATCTTCTGACCATTAAAATATCAGTTATATATAGATATCTCTGTCATGGAGAAGTTGTTCCTGGAGTTTTGTAAAAACAAAATAAAAGTAAATGTTTTAGCACCAACCCATGTTATCCATAAAAAATCTTGTCCATTAAAATTATTTTTCTTTTAACATGAAATAACATCCTCTCTGTGCCAAAAAAACCCCGCTTTATATAATGGCGTTTTCTGGCTTGTTTTAAATTAATGATTTTATTTATTATAAATAACAATTTTATATTCATGTATATTCCTGTTGTAAGCATAATCACTAATTTTTTTAGATTTATACTTAAAACAAGACAGAATAAATTTATTATATAAATGTATTTTATATAAATAAATATTTTATATACATTTTTTGTATATATTTATATTTTGTATATTTATATTTTATATAAATATTTTGTATTTTATAGAAATTGTATATCTATTATATAAATGTATTTTGCTATATAAACCTATAATGCGCTGCAATACAAATTTCCAAACTTGTCCAGATAGGTCAGCCAGTAAAAGTAGGCCCAGAAAGTATCTGGACACTTGAAAATGGATCAATATCAGAGCATTACACAAAACATATTCAATCAAATAGCCAGTAAATTAAAAATATATATTTTATTTACTTGTCCCAGGTAATTTTAGTGTACACTACTGTTTAAAGGTTTATATGATTTTTAATGTTTTCAAGATTTTTAAAGTCTCTTATTCTCCCTCATTCATTTGAAATATGACTCTTTTGTAACAATGTAAAAGTCTTTACTGTCCATTTTGATCAATTTAACGCATCCTTGCTGAACAAAAAATTATTTTTTTTCAAAAAAGAAAACAAATCTGACTTACTTATGTCTGAAGGTTCTTACTGGCCTCAGTGGTGTTAGTGTTGTAAAACTAAGCTGTTTGATGAAGTTGTGTTGAATTCCAGACTGTCTGGGATGACAAACGACTTAGCCTTCATTAGACTGTGCTGAAATTGGTGTTATTTCATTTAGGTCAATCTGTCAGAAAGGCAAATTTAGATTTTCCGGGTACCATGGGGTCGTCCGACTGAAATGACGGGAAGAGCGTGTTACTGCCATAGTAGTGATAAGAAAATCTGAATGATTGGGCCCATTGAGGTTGCATGTATTAAGAAGAGAAGTGGGCCCAGCACCGAGCCCTGATGTACAACTGTGGTTAGCTGATGTGACTTAAATAAAGCAAGCAAGGACTGGATGCAAAATATGTATTTTAATTATGCTGTTAAGTGTGGACAGACAGCACATGCTGTAGTGTTATTGACAGATCTATTGTGTTACATCAAAACTGTTATGTTGGCTTTTGCTTCTTATGGCAGGACTTGTAATTGCCCATTGGGGCAGGAATGCGATGCTGTGATGTTTATTAGTTAATGAGTGTATTGTGTACTAAATGACTCATCTCCTTTAAAGTCTGTTGTTTTGTTTTTCAAGAGAGCAAGATTTGTGATGAACAGATTCAATTACAGGACATAAAAAACTTTACCTTAAACATACTGATGAAATATGTATTTGATATATTTGACAAATATGTATAAACTAATAGATAAAGAACACAACAGATTTAGTTTTATTTCAGGTTTAAATTTTATGTTTGCCAAAACTGTTAGGCTGTTTTTAAGCATCCCTCTTTGTAAAGTAAATATTTGGGATCTGAGTACCTGATACTGTTGAGTTCACTGTTTTTGGAAAATGAAGTAGATGAAAGCTTCTGTAATTGAATTGTAGTGGTTAAGAGTCTGAGGCCTTGATGAGGAAAGACAAATACACATCAGCAGTGATCCATCTATCACTAGAGTCACAGAGCAGAATGAGGGACTATCAGTCTGTCTGCTGGCTTTGATTGCTGTTGATATGACCAGCAGGGAGGAAAAACTGCTTAAAAGACCCTCTTCAAAGTAAGACACCAGACCACTGACACTTTCTCATGACCAATATCCAGAGACCTTAATGGAGTTGATCTCTATAATTATTTAGATATATAGCATTTAGATATATAACATTATATATATATATATATATATATATATATATATATATATATATATATATATATAATATTATATATATATATTTTGTCTCAAGTAAATTCATCTTATTTTTTTGGATATTCACTTTAAAAAATGTGCTGATCAAGAAAATATGTTTTGCAGTGTGTGTGAGGTTTAGCTTGCTAACGCACGCTGTCCCTGCACGCTCACTCAGAGTCCAATCACAAAGGCGATAGGGACACTTAGGTAAGGAGGCAGAACCCAGTATGAATGCAGAGAACTTCAAGTTTTTTCTCCAGTTTTTGGATCTGTTTTCCTCTTGCACTTACCATAAGTTACATGGCATAAATCTGATCCTAGGTCAGCATTTCATCATCAAAAAGCTCCCTGCAGGAGGGCCTCTCATTCTGGCCTTTAGTTGTTAGAGCAATTGCTAGAGTCTGTGTCTATCTGCATAAGAATGCTGCCCACCTCACAGAGGAAGGAGGAGGGCCGCGAGAATGGATGAAAACTTTTCCTGTTCCTCCAAAAGCCCTTTCATTCCCCTCTCTCCTGTTTCTCAAACCTTGGCTGAGATGCACTCCTGCCAATGCATTTGCACCACTTTCAGAAATAAAACCTGCTTAAAGGGTAGATTTGAACATGTAAAATGCATGCTTATGAAACAAAGACAGTGAAGTACAGACACTGGCCTAGTCAAACTTGATTATAAGACCAAGATATCCACCATGCTTCGTCTAAGATAGTCTTATCTGTAAGACAGTCCATGTTTAAATATTTAGTAATGCATTGGAATGCAGAAAAAAATACCCACTTAGAATCTGTACAAGTCACATTGACTTTAATATAAGAACAACACGTCTATGGGAGCTCCTCCTCACAAGAAGTATATGTGTACGAGTTTGTGTGTGAGAAGGTCTGCATCTGCGTGAGAGAGGGAGAAAGGCAAAATTGTGCAGGTTTCTCCTCCCATTGGCGACTTCGCACGATGGCAATGTTGAGCAGTGTACTGAGTGTAGGGTTGATCATGATCATGTGACAGACAGCTTTGGGAGAGAACAGCTCTGAACGCAGAAACATCAGGCGCAACTAAAGGAGTTTCCACTGCGCGAGAGACAGAGCCTACAAGTGAACATTGCCCTGCTTTAAAACCGTTATTCAAGTGCTCTGAACGACGTCGACGGTCTGTGGAAAGTTCTGGGGAGACGCTGTTTTCAACAGCTTGGATAAAGAAACGTTTGGTGGCGATAAAACATTCTCTGTAGAAGAGGACAGACGCACAAATCTCAGCGGGCATGCGGGAGTTTTTGGAGTTATTTGACGGCAAGCACTCTACAAACAAATAAGAACTTTCGCAGATTCCTTTCGTTAATTGCGTAATCAGTTGGGTTTTTAAAATCCGATGATTGTGGGTGATACAAAGTTTCAACATTGCGTTTGAAAAGTAGCATCATCGGGGCAGGAGTTTGGAATAAAACAGGGAAAACGTATCAAACCCCTCCGTTTGCTTTTTTAGGGGGCTGTCCTGTTTCCCCGAATTTTTGAGCTTTTTTTTGGAGGGTAATATTTTAAACATGGTTGGGGAAATGGAAACGAAGGAGAAGCCTAAGCCGACTCCTGATTATCTGATGCAGCTCATGAACGACAAGAAACTGATGAGCAGCCTGCCAAACTTCTGTGGTATCTTCAACCATCTCGAGCGACTGTTAGATGAAGGTGAGAGTTCTATATATTTCTTTAAAAACAAAGAACACACTTGATTTGGGTTCGGAAGAACTGTGGAACTGTATCCTAAATATGTCGGTGTTTTTATTTGTCAGTTTCTTGATTGTTGTAAACAAGCTCCGGAGTTTGTAAATAATATCTTTAGATTTTTTTTTCAACCCAGTGAAGGATAACTTTTCTTGCACGCTCTACGCCAGGGATCCTCAAATCTGGCCCACGAGATCCACTTTCCTGCAGAGTTTAGCTTTAACCCTAATCAAACACACCTGAGCAAGCTAATTAATGTCTTCAGGATCATTAGAAAATCACAGGTAGGTGACTTTGATCAGGGTTGGAGCTAAACTCTGCAGCGCATTGGCCCTCCAGGGCAAGATTTGAGGAACCCTGCTCTACGCTATACATTATTATGCCAGTTGGTGGCGACAAGTGGGAGTCGTTTAGTGAGTATGAGTGAGCGAGTCTTTGAATCTTTCACTCACTGATTCGTTGTAAACGTCGAGTCTTTTAGAAGGACTGAAACAAATCTTATGATCCTTTATTAAAATTTGCGTTTATTAATCTAGACTACGGACTTACGTGTTTAAGGATCATATGTGTTTTACTATAGAAGACAAAAGAAAAACGTTTAAGCTGGAAGTGACTTTAATACACTAGTTATATTATAGAGACAAAAAGTCATTTCTACATATTCATAATTTATTCATCCTCTTCCTCTATTTCTTGTGAACGAGATTACCTCACTCATTCAGTGAAGAGGGTGTGTTCGTTCAGTTAGTCCAACCAATGAAATACTACTTTACAACTGTGCTCAAATTCGATTAGCCTGTGGTTTACTCAATATATAGGCTATGAAGCCAGGAAAGCCGTCAAAAGGAATTAAAGATACCGAGTCAGTACATGGAAGTAAATGAGAATGATTTGTTCATGATGAAAGAACACATTAGCTTAGGCCTATCGCTTAATAAGTCTGTTCAATGTTTTAGACCGTAACAGTCTAGAAACTTATGTGGTAAAATGATCAAGTTTTGATGTTTAACAGGCATCATCAAAGATTTTAAATTGTATTATTTCTTCCCTAAATGACAGTAGCTGAAAACATTTTTTTTTAGTTTGCTCAAATGAATCAATTACATGACCTGGAAACATCTCTGATCAAATCCACTGATTAAATCTGTACAGATGCATCCACTCACAAAACATCATTATGGGCCATGGCGCAGTTGGATGATACTAAGATTAGAGGAACTACTGGCTGTAATCGAGAGTAGCCTACTTGTTGGTTTTGTGAATTTAGTGGTAGGGCTATTTATAACATACTACAGTGGCAAGTCATCTGCCTAGGCTCTCCAGACCAGGAGTGCATTTCCCAAAACCTTTGTTAGCTTACTATGGTCGTTAGTTTTCTATTGAACTCTATAGGTAGCGAGTTGCTTTTGGGAAACGCACCCCTGGTTGGTATTGTAAAGCAAGGTTTGTACTTAAAGCTGGAGTTTACTCAGGGTTGATGCACTTTTAACACATTTGAATGCTGCAGAACGCATGTAACCAGCAGTTGTCCTCTGAGAATGCAGTGGAAGCTGAGGACCTGATAACAGAATCACTTCTCTCTTTCTCCTTCACATTCTAATCATACAGCCCATAGCCGTGGCTTATTTCATTCTCAGTTTATTGCTGATAATCCAGTGTACTAATATAAAGGTTATCACTGCGATACTTTTATGGAGAGAAAGGTGATCTGTTAGATTTATATCCACAGTATTTTACAATCCATTTCAGACTGAATTCAGTATTCAATTCTTAGTACACTGACTCTCTCTAGATTCATCATAACTCACCAAAAGCTTGTGGCATATTGAAATATGTGTCATAAATAACCTCACTAAGCCTGTTTTTTTCAGTTCCTCTGTTTAGAGCTAATTTAGCCTAGCCTGTTCTCTTTATTCAAGCATATTACAAACTAGATGGAGCTCTTAAAATGTTGATTAGCTGAAAAATTGGTAGGATTTCTTTGATCTAGATTTCCTCTCACTATTTACAGAGGGGTTCCAAATCACCCACTGCCTTTTGTATAGCTTTATTGTCTCATATATTTTCCTTGTATGAGGATCCCAGTTCTGTCAGGTTATTGTAAAGAGGTTACTATATAATAAGCTTGGTATTTTGCTTGAGCACTTGTAGGCTACCTTTTCTTTTCACACCCAGTGTGTTTTATGATGCCAGAGAACTCGTTGTTTGTGTCTGCAGTTTCAAATGTGTTCTTTTGGGGTTTTATTTATTTATTTTTTACCTACAGGTCAGCATGCTTACAGTTCCAGTTGTTTATATAGGTTTTTAAAAATTTACTGTTTATAGCATTTGCTCTTAGTGTGTATTGTATTTGTAGTGTTTTAAATTAATACAAGCATTACACATACTATTTGATAACTCATATTTGATATTGTGCTGTGTTATTGTTTCCAGGTTTTGTAAATCTCCAGCATGTGTTTTCCGAGTGCTGCTCTTTTCTTCACACTTCTTTTGTGTTCCCTCTAAGGAACAGATATTCTGCTGGTATGCTGCTTATTGAATTATTTGAGTAATTAAGCCATCATGGAAGAAAAAATATCTGGGAGAGGATCCAGAAGCAATGTTGAACCTCTCTTTGAAAACACTGGCTTTTCCTTATCTGATTTAGATATAAAACGGGACTACAGAGCCCCAGGGGGACCTACCAGTGAAATTGTTGCAAAATGTGCTTTTTTGTTCTTTTTACTGAAACTGTTCTGTTGCCTTTTATTATTGCGTAGGATAAATAATATTGGGCTTGTGTTAACAGAATTGCACAAATGTTATTGTTGGAGGCACTTTCAATAAATAAGGCCAAAAAAGGGGTCTGCCAAAGAAGGTGCTTAACCTTCAGAATATCATCAACCCCAGAAGGTCAAATATTGTATGGTTTTTTCCCTCTTCATTTTATAAGAGTTCTTTTTTCCTCAAATTTTTCTAAATGAAGTTTAAACCACCTGATTGATAAAATAAACTTGAATGCTTCCCATAGAAAATAGTTTCTTTGATTGTATTGTATATCAATAAACATTAAACAAACATTGAAACTAAATATGTATAAAATGAACTATGTGGTTCCTATAATTTAAAATATTTTATTCTATTTTCTATCAATAAATGTTAAATAAACATTGAAATTAAATATACAAAATTTATGAAATAAACTACAGGGTTCCCATAAATTAAAGAACAATATTTGTTTGCATTTTATATCAGTAAACAATAAATAAACATTTAAATTAAATACACTCAATTTATAAAATAAATTGCAGGGTTCCCCTAAATTAAAGAAAAATATTTGTTTGATTGTGTTTTCGCATACCACTTGGCTTAAAGTTTGCATCTTATGGAATGCGCCTTTAAGGGGTCATATGATGCGATTTCAATTTTTCCTTTCTCTTTGGAGTGTTTACGTCACGATGTGGGAAAATTTGCATAACGCCGCCCAAATTTTCACACAAAGAAAGAAGGTGTAACTTTTATTCTCGCTGTAGTATTGTTGCCGCCGCCGCCGTGTCGTGAAGGCACTGTGTGTTTCGTTGTGAAAGCGAAACTACTTTGTTTGGTCTTCCAAAAGAGGACGATATCCGCTTCGTCATGCCTAGAGCTGATCCGTGCTGGTCGCTGAGGAAATACATCAACTTCGCGCTGTGGATCGCCGGATTGGCTTTCACCGTGGACGAAGCGGAGTCCAGCCCCCGGTTGTCGCATGTGGTTGCCGCAAGCCTGCCGGACGCTCCTTCGTCGAATCCGCCGGCCGCGCCGTTCTCAAGCCCACCGGCCTCCGCTCACTCAAGCCGGCCTCCGCATACTCTAGGCCTCCGGCCTCCGCTCACTCTATCCCGCGGTGTGTTTCGTTGTGAAAGGGAAATTACTTTGTTTGGCCTTCCAAAAGAGGACATGACTAGAAATCAGTGGTTAAGTTGTATTTACAACACGGTTCCAGAACAGTTCAACCCAAATATTCAGATGTGTCCAGCGCATTTTATGAAGGACTGTTTCATGATTCTGGTAGAGTAGACTACAATGCTGTCTGTTCTGACTCACAGACTGTAAGTACGTTTTTTTATATTTAAAGAATTTGCCACTGACGATTTAAACACAAGTTTTGGGCAGTGTAGGGTAGCACTTGTTGTTTGTAATTTCTCTGATCACAAATGCAGACAGGATTTTATGTTTACATGGCGCGATGCAACGTGTAAAAAGACAGTATAAGTCATTATAATCCGTAATTATATCCCCACTGGATGCAACAAATGCCTCGTTTATAATGGGTTTTAATGTTTTTGTCTCATCGCTCCAGCCGGGACACGGCATCACAATATGGTAAGGGGTGTAACATTTCCGTCACACGCTTGAGGTATTCAGCCAATCACAACGCACTGGATAGCTGGCCAATCAGAGCACACCTCGCTTTTCAGAACGATGAGCTTTGTAAAAATCTACGCCTTTCAGAAAGGCGGGGCTTAGAGGAGAAACAATAATATACAGTATGTGGAAAATAATGTTTTTTGAATCTTAAACCACATAAACACATTTCATTACACCAAATACACAAAATGTTATTTTTAGCGACATCATATGACCCCTTTAAGCATTGGTATTTTTAGGGGTTATCTATCTTTATGCTTGTATTGAAGTCTGCCACTTAAATCAGTAATTTGGTAGTTTTCTAAATGTCTCCATAGCGTGATGTATTTCCTAAAGGGGTGAAAGTTGCTCCAGGCAAATGTGTTAAGAAAGTTAGAATTCTCAGTGGTGTCTTGACCTCTGATTGTCCTCACATTATGGTCTTGGGTAAAGAGTAAAGCATGCTTCTGTGGTCACCCCTTCCAAACATATACTGGTACATGAGCAATGAAGGGACGCCACTCTGACCTATAAACATCATGTGACCGTGACAAGGGCACACACAATGATCACATGGTTCTTCATGAATCTGTCAC